CTCTCTCTCGCTCTCGCTCTCTCTCCTGCTTAGACTCTACATGCAACAACAAATGTTGCGTTCTCGGGTCGCGCTTTTACGGGTTTCTTCTATCCGACCCTTTGTGTGCGACTCTGTTTAGTTGTGGAAGACGGTCAGAATGAAGTCTTGTGACCTGGAACAACCGTTTGCAAACCCCTCAATCTGCACCCAAAGCCTCAACTCTCACTCCTAAGATAACCGTATACGTCACACACAAGTATACCTGGTTATGCATTCCAAGTAAGCTTCGTTTATGCTGATATACACATGCATGCATACACTCACACTACGATGAACTGCGACCGTCTACAACCCGAGCCTGCTCGATGATGGCGCATGCCAGCCGGTCCTGGTCTTACCGAATATGGCTTTAACCTTTTGAGTGATTTCGGGGTGTGTATTCGGGGTTTAGTTCGTTCCTGCTCTCGGCTTCAAGAGTAGATACATCGTCAGCAATCCACGGAAAAGCTCTGCTCCTGTCACATAACGTAATTTCCATCTCGCGAAGGCCGAGGATCAGGTGCCGATCGGGACAGGAAAGGCTGCGCCACAACCCCCTAAACCCTAAACCCTAAACGGCCCAAACTGTGGCCATGTTTTGGCCAAGCGCAAACTCGAAGCTCCAAAGCCCTGTTGAAGTTCTCAGCCCTGAGTCAGAAAGAGCTTTTCAGGAATGAACTTCCTGAAACACACAAAGTCTCAGAGCCCAGTTTCCTAGAGGTCTCGTCCATTCGGGAATTGGTGAAAACATCGAAGCCTGAGTAACGACCCTAAGGCACCAAACTGCTGGAAAGTCAGACCCCCTATCTGAGCGGAAGTGAAAGTTTTGGGGACTTGGGCTGCTCTCATAACCCGGGACTTCTGATACTCCACCCCTTCAAGCCCTAACGAACCTTTATAGACCCCTCGCACAGCCGTGAAGAACCCTCGAAGGAGCCCTCAACAGGTATCGACCCGTGAAAGATTGAGCTCTGACCCGCATCCTTGACGGATCCGAGCGGGTTGAAATACTCTAACTTCGCGTAGATCGTGCCTTGTCGGGTTCAAGGCGTTTTGGGGATTGGGGTTCTAGGGTTGTCTGCACTTGGGCCGACCTGCTGTAGTGTTGTGATTTGTTGGGCATCAGGTTTCGACTCCTCCATTGAAGGCAGGGTGTCAGGCTTTGGGCTGTAGGTTCAGGGTGCACGCTTTGTCTTCTTCAGCGTAGGCGCTGCAGGGCCTCGGATTCGAAAGTTCTGAGGGGAATCAGTCGGACACCGCGGCACAGATTCTCGCCACGAGCTGGGGATGTTTGGTTCAGGTTGAAGGCAGTGCTTGGTTTATTTCTCGGAAGGGTCGATCGTGTTCAGGGTTCCAGGGTTCACACCGGTCACCAGCACGATGATCATCATCACAACACTGTCGCCACTATTCTCTCTCCACGCCCAACACCACCCTGTTCTCTCCCAAATCGTACAATCGACGCCCAGGCACGTCCAGCAGGACATATCCGGTCGGAGAGCTTCACGCAAGGGGTGTTGCCGACCTATGCAATCGGCTGGCTGGCGGCTGGGAGCTTGAAGTTTAGGAGCTTATGCTACACGTTCTATAATAAGGGTTTCAAGGGCCCTGCAAGGCTCCATAAGGGCGTTTCGATGGCTGGAGGGCCTGTCGCGCTGAAGACTTTATGGTTAAACCTTGGCCAGACTTCCGGGTTCACTGTTCCCATGGGACGAGACCGAGAAGGTCTAGAGCGCAAGCAGGTTCTGCTTCGGCTAATGTGGGGTGGATTATCTCTCGACGGCGAAGAATCCTTGAATCAGTGTTATTACTCTGAGGGGGCATCTGCTAGGCTAAATCCATGACAGCCTGGCTGCAAACCTGCACGCCAAGACTGCCTCTGAAATCAGCGTGGGCATCGGCTGTTTTTCTCCCCGTACCTCTTGGCAAACTTGTCATCTGTCAACATCATTGCCGACCCAAACGCTGAAAGCTTGCTGCACTGCCGAAGAATCTTGGCACGTCGAACCAAGAGATCATACCTTCGACCGAAAAGACGAGGATTGCGAACGAGAAGGCTGCGAACCTGTTCACTGGAGAACTGTTCCACGAGCCAATGCACCTTTGGCTTCAAATTTTTTTCGGTGCTGCACCCTAATAGCGCAGGGAATTGCACAATACACTTGGCAACCTCAGCCTTCGTCAGCCCCAAATCTCGAAACCACTGGACCGTCGGCTTCCGGTTCCTTTCGATGCTGCATCCCAGAACTTGCGGAAACAGAGCAATCACTCTTGCAACCTGATCCTTCGTCAGTCCCAAGTCTCGAAGCCACTGGGTGGTGGTCTCTAAGTTGTCTTCAATACTGACGCACAAAACTGATGCAAAGCGAGCGATCACTTTGGCAACCTCAGCTCTGGTTAGTCCGGATGCTTGCAGCCACTGGACAGTGGGCTTCAAGTTGTCTTCAATGCAGCATCCCACAACTTGCGGAAATCGCGCAATGACTTTGGCCACCTCAGCTTTCGACAATCCCAGGTCTCGAAACCACCGGACCGTGGGCTTCAAGTTCTCTTCGATGCTGCAGCCCAAAACTTGTGGTTTTCGAGCAATCACTTTGGCCACCTCAGCTTTCGAGGCTTCGAGACGTGGGATTATCGAAAGCTGACGTGGCCAAAGTGGTTGCCCGATCTCCGCAAGCCCTGGGATGCAGCATCGAAGAGAACCTGAAGCCCACCGGACCGTGGGCTTCAAGTTCTCTTCGATGCTGCAGCCAAGAGCTTGCGGAGATTGCGCAATCACTTTGATCACCTCAGCTTTCGACAATCCCAGGTCTCGACACCATCGGACCGTGGGCTTCAAGTTCTCTTCGATGCTGCAGCCCAAAACTTGTGGTTTTCGAGCAATCACTTTGGCAACCTCAGCTTTCGACAATCCCACGTCTCGAAGCCACCGGACCGTGGGCTTCAGGTTATCTTCGATGCTGCATCCCAGGGCTTGCGGAGATCGGGCAACCAGTTTGGCCACGTCAGCTTTCGACAATCCCACGTCTCGAAACCACCGGACCGTGGGCTTCAAGTTCTCTTTGATGCTATAGCCAAGAGCTTGAGGAGATCGCGCAATCACTTTGGCCACCTCAGCTTTCGACAATCCCACGTCTCGAAGCCACCGGACCGTGGGCTTCAAGTTCTGTTCGATGCTGTAGCCCAGAACTGCTGGAAATCGGGCAATTGCTTTGGCAACCTGAGCGTTTTCGAGCCCCAAGTCTTCCAGGAACTGCATCGCAGGCTGGAGTTGTTGGTCAACGCGTCTGCGTGATAGGGCTGGGCATTTTATCAATTTTACAACTAGTTCTTCGGCCTCTGAAAGCGACAAACTCAGCCGAGACTGCAGAGACTCATGCAAAGGCGCTGGGTCGAACTCAAGCTCACGGTTCGCTACGGTTCTCTCCGTAAACTCAACTGCTGCGTGCATACCGCTCCTGCCAGGGGTCTCCGCAAAGGCCTGCAGCTTTGCTCGCAGATGAGGCTGCAATGCATTCCCCTGTTGGCTCAACAAGAACATAGCGACTTGACGGAGTGCATTGATCAATGATGCTTCGTGGCCTAGCTGCCAAACGTCGACAACAACTTCTCCCATCTCGCAAGAAAGCTCCATTCCCCGATGGGCATGAGCTATGCGTAACACGTGCGATCCGTT